GAGAAAGGTAAACAACAGAGGGAAAGATAAGACCTGAATGGAATGTAAGATTATAGCCTGATTAGTCAATGAGGAAAGGTTTCTCTCATGCATTCAGGGTTATGGAGATTGTTATCTGCCTCAATCAGAGCCCTTACTTGACATTCTGGTCTGACTTTGCAAAGTCAGAAAGTAACCCATCTCTAAGGGAGGAAGTAACCCATCTCTAAGGGAGGATCCTTATCCTCGATACAAGTCTCATCACTTCAGTAGGGCAGAGTTCCACTTGCAATTTTTTTCTAGCCTTAAGTTTTCTTTGTGATCTGGTGTGCTTCCTCGATACAAGTCTCATCACTTCAGTAGGGCAGAGTTCCACTTGCAATTTATGCGCAGCCTTAAGTTTTCTTTGTGATCTTGTGTGCTTTTTCTCTTTCCTTTAGGCATGGTTGCTACACTACACACCCAGTAGTTAGAAATTCGCGTTATTTTCCTTTAATCTAGTCCATCATTTTGACTCCTTTTAAAATTTATATTTTCTGCTTTGTTGCATTTTTGTTGTATAGCTCTATATGTAATATCAGTACATCTTTTAAATTTTTTTTATATATTTGAATTACAAACAAGATTGAATTACATGACATATCAGTACATCTTGAGTATGTTTTTTAAACAGTCCAAAGGTTCTCTCTTTAAGAGCCAAAGGGCATAAGCAACTGCACTTCAAGGCTTAATGGCCCTTGGCATTCTACATCAGTACAAATAACCTGTGCCATTGTTTGTAGACACCTTGCCACCAGAGACAAATCACCAGTCCTCCAAGGTTTAAATACTGGTCTCTGTCAGACTTTAGGAATGCTGTAGTCTCTGGCCCCATGATAAAGAGGCTTGGCAGGTTTTTGGTGCTAATCTAAGAGAGAGGAAGTCATTTAAGTGCTTAATTTGCATAACAAGCCTTGACCTAACAGTGGGTCTAAACATTCCAGGCCTTAGAGATATCTGAGTTTCACTCTCACAGTTCCGACCTGTCACTCCACCAGCTGAAGGGAAGACTACTCAAGTGCCTCCTTCTGTAACAGGCAGGTTGCCTTTTCCTTTTCTGCCTTGAGCTAATTTGTTACTGATAACTGAATAACTAGTACTGCAGTCAACTAGGAACAGCATCATTCCGAGTCTCACTGTCAATTGTACCCTGGACTCTAGTTGGGGAAATTAGATTGGCTTTGAAAGATCTTATCTCGATCATACCCAAACTCAACTCCCTCCTTCAACTATTCTAACCTCCAACATGGGGGTTGTCTGCTTCCCTTCCGCATTCTGGGGGTTGGTTGGTTGGTTGGATTTTTTTTTATAACCCACTGCCTTCTGGAATGCTGACTGCCCTGTTGGGTTGACCTTGCATAACTAATCAGAGCTGCAGTGAGTTCGTGAGTCAAATGGTCACATCATATATAGAAGACACCCATTTTTAAGATCCTGAAGATAGGAAAAAATGACTATTAGCAGTGCTCTCATGTCCCTAAAAAACGTACGTTTTGTTCGGTTCATCTAGTTAATAGAAAGTCTCCGGTGGCATGGGGGCTGCTGGGAGCACTGAAGCACCTACCCAGCACAGAACCCTGGGTTCCATCTCGTGCAAGAGCAGGGGAATCTAGATTTTGGGTCTCTAGATTTTGAATATTTGTGTTCCACCAAAGTATAGACAAGGCGTTGAAAAGAACTCACCTGCAAAATAAGTCTTAAAATGATCTCTTCTTAATATTGACGAACTGTTTATCACCGAGCCAGTGATAGTTTCCTCATTGCAACATTTCATCAGACATCTAGTCAGTGTCTGTGTTCGCTTGGAGCCAGCATCCCTCATTCCTAGATCTCTAGACAGTGCAGTCCTGGACCGTGCTGGCGCAGTCCAGGATCGAGTCGGTAGTGTGCACCTGGCGTGCCAGGGACACTCACCCCTCCCATCCGCCTGCCCTGTCCTCTGGGCGGAGCCAGAACCCAGGCCATATACTTAGACTCTGCCTGCAGCCAGCTGTCCCCAGAGTTGCCTTCCACTGGCTGCGATGAGCGGGGAGCTCTGGCTGTGGGCGTTGTGCGCCCTGCTGCCAGCCTTGTGGCTGCTGAGCTTCTTTCGCACCGATTCTGACCTGACGCTGCTGTGGGCTGCGTGGCTGGGTCGGCGTCCAGGTGAGGACCTTCTGTGATCTCCAGCTTCAAAGTGGGAGACCTGATCTCTGTTGGGTCTGGGTCCTCCCGGGCCACCCACCTCTGGTTGTTGAAGCCTCAGTGACGCCAGCCTGAGCCTTGCCCAATGGTTGAAGGTCAGGAAGGAAGAGACTGAGCAAAGGGAGCAAATTTTCGCCTTCCAGGCTGGGAAACCTCTCCGGAGGTTGCCAAACTGCTACTTAGAGAGAACATCTTTAAGACCTTGCCTAACTGGAATCCCAGAGATCCAAAGCGGTATCAGAAACTGTGGGCAGCACTAAACACTCTGCCTTGCTAAGGTGCCTCCTTGGGCAAAGCCTCGGGGTCTCTTCATTCCAAAGGTGTTTATCCTAGGCTTGTCACTCTGCGGAAGTTTTGAAACGGAACCTTTGACAACCCACTCTTGGGCTGCTTGTGAGCCTAAGCTCAGTATAAAGGACCCAGACAGTTTGTTTGTTTTTTCTGAAGTAATGTGATTTTTGCCCATTAGTGGGGATTCTGCCTGTCGCCTTTTGGTCTGTGTCTTGCTTTATATTCGAGGGAACTCTACTTGTGGGTTAAACACCTATAGCTAAACACTTGCTGTGTGCTCTGTAGGCAGCGTGCTCAGTGGTGCTTCACAACCCCTGATCTCCACTGAGTTCAGCACAACTCTAGAAAGCAGCTATTGCCGGTGTTGCTTGGCAAACAGGGGAATCACATTCCAACGAGTGAAATGGCATGCTCGCAGGTAGACTTCGGATCCTAAGAATTCGGTCGGAATTTCCTAGACTCTTAAGACAGTACCCACTGCACGCTGTGACATTGTTTGGAAGTGATAGCTCAGAAGACAAGGTTTTCTATGCTAAGTGGATGAAAATTGCCTGGGGTGTTTGGGGTGGGGGGATATGACACGACTGATAATATATTTTTGTCTTCCTGCCTCCCTGCAAAACTCACCCCCAACAGGCCAAAATCTTACTATCCAATGTTTCATTTTTTCGGGGCGGGGGATACCTTGGACGGAGGGGAGGGGGGAGGGGGGGGGGGGGGGGGGGGGCAGATGGCTGTCTGTGCTAAGTGGACTTTTCTCTTTCAAATGAAAACATCTGACATCACTTTCTTATTTGACAATAGAAACTTCTCTTGATCGATCTCTTCGACTAATAACTTCGGCTGCCAAAGGCTCATGGGTGTTAAACTGGGACTTAGAGAATGCAACCAAATCAGTATTTTTGTTATGTAATTCTGCAAAAGTCATTCAACTCATCAAAAGAAAAATTGTTGGTTTAGTTATAAGATCAGTAAAAATGAATTATATGACATTAGTTTAATTAGATATAGTGCCACAGGTAATTTTAAAACAAGTGTAAAATGTTAATAGCTTTTAAGATTTAACTCAATATTGAAAATCATTCATTCTTAAACCTTCATTGACAAAACAGTTTCATCAAACTTCATATATATATTCATATATATATATATATATATCACAGTTCTATGTACAGAAGAATATAGGTAAGTATATCATGTGTTTGTGGATGAAAATTTCATAAGGGGCAGTTTTAGGGAAAAAATGCCTCTATAAACTCAGGGTGGGGTGGAGAGCGAAGAAAATAATACAAAGAATACAGAAATAGACACAGATTCCTAAAGCAGCATAGACTGGAATATGGGCATGTGTTATGAAGATTTTAAAAGGGGGGAAAAGTCTTCCTTTTTATGGATTATATTTTGTCTCCTTAAAAATTAATAAAAGTAAAAATACAAAATTCTAGAATACAAAAGGATAAACAGTAAAAAGTCCATCACTCCGCAGACTCTCGCTCACCCTCTCTAGTGGCAGCCTTCATTTCTGCCTCTTCCGAAACCTTCTGGAAAGAGTTTCTGCATTCCTAAAGCTGACTCTCACATGGTAAAATTTAAGGTTTGTTTTCTGTGATGAATGTGTGATGAATGGCATTTCTTCAGTGCCAATTTAATGCCCCGGGAGTTTGGCAGTTTTAATTCATTTCCCCAACACTCCTGTGAGGGATGATTAATGATTTACTCTGAGGTTGTGAAAACTAGAGACTCTGAGCACACACTGAGGAGTTAAAAACTGCCTTGCCCTGTGAAGCAGCTGGATGTTGAGCCTTAGCAGCTCCAGAGATGGTCTGCCCACAAAACAGAATTTATTAAAACCCATTTGATGAGCCAGTGAAACAACACACTAGATCCCAGATTTTTAACACCTCTAAACCCAAATCAGAATCTGAATATATGTGATACTATGTTTGCTGGTTTTGGTCAAATCACACACACACACACACACACATATATTTTTTTATTAATTCTTTGGAATTCTGTGCATACAATGTATACGATTTTATCACCTCCATCTTCAATCCCCTAGTGTCTCCCAGATCCATCCCATCCTCCCCCAACTTGATATTCTTTTTCTTTGCCTTCTTTTGTTTCTGCTCTACCCATCCCGACCCTGCCCCAACTCACTGAAGCCAGTCTATGCTTCCCTTATATTCATGGGTGTGGGGCCACTCACAGAAGCCTGGTTGACAGAAAACTGACTGTCCCTTTCCCAGAAGCCATCAGCTGTCAATAGCACCTTAGGGTGGAGGCACATGAGCCCCCTTCCCCTCTCCTTGCTCTAATGTTGACTGTCCAATTAACCTCAGCTACTGCCAGTTCATGAATGCAGGGGTCCTGTTGCACATAGGAAACAGTTTCTGTTCAGGTTCTTCTCAACTTGTGTTTCTTATCATTTTTCTGACTTTTCTTCCTTGTGGAGAGGTTTGTTTGTTCATTTTGTTTTTTAAGCCACGATCTCATGTAGCTCAGCTTAACCTCAAACTTGCTATGCCTCTAAGGAGGACAATCTTTTTGTTTCTGAACTGCCTGCCTTCACCTGGAGTGCTGGGATTGTAGATGTGTGCCACCATGGCCAGTTTATAAAGGGCTGGGGATTGACACCAGGGCTTAGTACAATGTTAGGCAAGAATTCTACTTGCTGAGCCACAACTAGTGCCCTCACAACTCTGACTTTTTTAAAGACAAGAATTTCACACCACTGTGTATTGTTGACGTTGCATTGCAGGTACTGCAGTAGAGAGAGAGAAGCTCACCAAGATGCTAAGCCTTCATTTTCTGAATGAGCAGAATGAGCTTTCTTGGAAAACACTGACACCCAGCTAACTCACTCTGGTTAATTCTTGAAATATACACAAGGTTAATTGGGGCTGGGAAAGGTTCCAACTACCAAAGTCACCTTGCTCTCACTGCCCATTACAGCACATAACCCACACAAAAATAAGGCAAGGAATAATAAAAATTGACAACTCCAGGTCAAACAGGAGTGTCTAAAGGTTGGCATAGCTATATGTTCTCAAGTAGCACAAAGTGCAGAGTCTCCAGAGAGACAGCATTTCTCCAAGGTTTAAACAGTCTCTAAACAATTTCTCAGCCTCTATTGATTAACCCAATTATAGCAAAGGCTTTGCTGAGACATTTCCCTCAAAGCCAGACACAAAGGCTTTATTATACATTTTCCTCAAAGCCAGACAACAAAGGCCTTACTCACACATCAGTACAACTCTGGTCTAAGTTTCAGAAGGATCCTCTTCCCCAATACCACCTCCTGCCTTTTGTGTGATCACTGAATCATTTGGGCAGTATTTATAGGGACAGAGAGGCTGGGGGAACATGATTCACATTTCTGCCCTATACAATGCATCTTGTATGAGAGCACCTACATTGGGGGAAGCTTGTTTATAATTACCTGAAAGATACCAGATACCATTAGCAAAGGAAGAAAATACTACTTTTAAGTGCAGGGTAATCACATACCATTGACCAGAATTTGGTAAATTCAGATCCTTACCAACAGACTCTACCACAAAACAGAGGAGTCATAGAACTGAAAACTGGATGGAACCCAACTATTTAATGTGAATATCCCATTTAAAGGGTAAGACAGTTGAGTTCAGGCAATTGGTTTCTACCTAGCAGCTTTTATCTTCTTTATCAAATACACGGATTCTTAGTTGAATGAAACTATCTGAATTAGAGTAAAGTCTGAAAATTTTACCAAAAATTTTGAATATGCAAAATATTGAATGGGTAAGAAACATATTTGTGCTTTTTAACAAATTGTAGGAGATTTGAAATTTTAAGTTCCGCCTAATAGGTTGTCATATTTAATGACATGGTTTAAAGCTTACTTATTCTTTTTTGTTTGTTTTTGTTTTTTGAGACAGGTTTTTTCCACATAGCCCTGGCTGTTCTGGAACTCATCATGTAGACCAGGCTGGCCTTGAACTCACAGAGACCTACCTGATTCTGCCTCTGGAGTGCTGGGGTTAAAGGTGTGCGACCACCCCCCCCAGCTAGATTATTTATTATTCATTTATGTTTTGCTTCTCTTTGATAAATGAGTATCACTATCCCACGCATATTCCTGACAACCCTCCTCCTTCCTCCACAGAACAGGTGCTGACTGGCATGGTGGTTTGGGTGACTGGAGCATCCAGTGGCATTGGCGAGGAGCTGGCTCTCCAGTTATCTAAACTTGGAGTCTCTCTGGTACTGTCAGCCCGAAGGGTGCAGGAGCTGGAGCGGGTGAAGAGAAGGTGCCTGGGTGAGTCAACTCCCAACCACAGCTGTGCTTCCCGGAAGTGAGAATCCAAACTCAAGTGCAGCTTTGGGAAGTGAGGGAAGGCGGGACTGTCCTGCAGAGTTCACACTGGCTCCAGAGCTTCCTGTGCACTGCCCAGCTTCCTCTTCTGTTACTTCTTAAGCAGTTGCCCTTGTTTAGTGTTTCCTTCTTTCCTGCCACCATTCTACTCTTAGTTTTGCACAGATTCTTGCCTTAGGTAGGATCGTCAATCCTCTCAATGTCGGTTAATGATCAATTAATGTCCTAAAACTTGCTTGAGGGGAAAAACAGGTTGACTCTTATCCATAACGTGCAAATGTGGTCATTGAAAAGCAGCTCAAGGGATGACCATAGTATTTTTGCTCTTTGAATTTTAATGTAGTCATGTTCAATCAGAAAGCAGGCTCGAGTAAAAAAAAGCGATGATCACCTACAGAACATTTAGTACCTAGGTTGAAATAATTTTGAATTTTTCTCCAGAATATCTTTTTGGATAACTTCTTTTTCTTTTAATTGTTGAACTATCCAGCAATGAGAGTTTGTTGTCCTGTTACTACCCAAGGAGGCTACATGCTTCTTTCATAATTCTGCTGTCAAAGGCCCTGGCACCTGTGGCAAGTCTGGTGCTGGTTCTTGCGGTGATCTATCTGCCATACCTTGTGACTCGCACTTCCTGCTTTGGTGGAACAAAGGACACATTTTGGCAGTTCTTAGCTTGCTTCAGGGCGAGTCAGGAGGTATAGCCTTTCTGTTGCTTTTAAAAAATGGTTTACATTTTTGAAAGGTTTCAAACAACTGTATTGTATGTTGAGTGTGTGCCCTGTGTCCTCATGCCTTTCCATTTCCCTCCCCCACTTTCCCATTAGTTTACTTTCTGTCCCTAGACAGTTTACCATCTACTTTCATCACACACACACACACACACACACACACACACACACACACACACACCCTTATGTCTCTTGTTATTTCAGTCTCTTGTTATTTATTTCTAGTTTTCTTCCTTTATGTTCTGTTAACATACAAGAAGTTCTTCTGAGTTTTTAATATTAGTCAAGACTACCTTAATGGTCTAAAATGTTATATCCTCTTTTATATAGTGGGCATCTAATAAGCATGCCCATTCCACAGCTTGTGTCTGGACTAGCCTGCAGAAGCACATCAGTTTTATTTGATCAATTGTAAGATTTAACCGCAGCTTATTTGTTGTTTTTTTTGTTTTTGTTTTGGTCTGAATAATCTTTCTGTTGACAGTGGGGTATTAAAGTCACCTACTATTATTTTATCTGGACCTAGCTTCCCTTTTATGTCCTGTTATGTAAGATTGGGTAACCCTTTATTCAGTTCATTTGCATTTACAGTTGTTTTATCTTTTGTGGTGTGCCATCCCTTTTAGATTGTAGAGATCTTCTCTTCTCATTTTGGTTAAAGGACCCTTTATCAGCTGTATATTGTCTTGGTCGGTGTTCTATGCTGTTGAAGAGACACCATGACCATGACAACTCTTATAAGGGGAAACATTCAACTGGGCCTGGCTTATGGTTTCAGAGGTTTAGTCCACTGTGGTCATGGTGGGAAGTGTGGCAGCGTGCAGGCAGACATGGTGCTGTGAGGTAGCTGAGAGTTCTACAGTATGTCCCACAAGCAGTAAGAAGTGAACTGGCTTGAGCTCCTGAGACCACAAATCCCACCTCCTAGTGACACACTTCCTCCAACAAAGTCACAGCTACACAAAGAAGGCCTCACCTAATAGCGCCACTCCCTATGGGCCTATGGGCTTTTCTTGGCTTAACTGACATTCATTTTCTACATTTATCTCAGTTTTTGTCAGCATCTCAGTTTCCTGGCTAAATTTCTCACACTTGCTACGGTCTTTTGCTTTTCTATTGCTGAATTTACATATGATGGTATAATTTTTAAAAGGTACATAAATGACAGAATTAGATAAGGATAAGAAGAGGAATCAAAAAAATATATAGTGCTTATTTTTACAAAAATAAAATATCAGGGTTGGAGAGTTAGCTCAGTGGTTAAGACCACTGGCTGCTCTTCCAGAGGACCCAGGTTCAATTCCCAGCACGCACATGACAGCTCACAATTTTCTGTAATCCATCTCAAAGTGATTTGACACCCTTATAGAGACATAAATGTAGGCAAAACACCAATGCACATAAAACAAAGAAAGAAGATAGATACCTTAAAAAAAGAAAGAAAAAAATAACAAAAATACTACATGTATAGTGATTTAACAAAAAAATAAAAGAAGCAAACATACAAGGGTAAAAGTTGGTGTGGTAGTTTGAAAGAAAATGGCCCCAAAGGGAGTGGCACTATTAGGAGGTATGACCTGGTTGGAGGAAGCATGTCACTGTGAAGGTGGGCTTTGAGTGCTCATATATGCTCAAGCCACACCCAGTGAGACAGACCGCTTCCTGTTGCCTGAAAGATGTAGAACTGTCAGCTACCCCTCCAGCACCATGTCTGCCTCACGCTGCCATGTGGCACCATGATGATACTGGACTGAACCTCTGAAAGTGTAAGCCATCCCCAATTAAATGTTTCCTTTCTAAGAGTTGCCGTGGTCATGGTGTCTTCACAACAATAGAAACCCCAACTAAGACCCATGGGAGTATGGGTTCTCTCTTTCCTTGGGCTTCTAAAGTTTAGTCTGCTAGGTGCAGGGATGGGACACAGTCCGAAAGATGGAGTGTCTCATCTTTCCTACCAGGTAGGCTGGTGCTGACCACAAGTCATATGGCAGATTTCTAAAAGAGCTTTCTTCCTTGTGGGAGCTTCTCTGTTCGTACCAGGAATATCTGATGGTCCCTTAAAGCTTTGCAGTCTGTGAGCAGGCAGCTGGTCCCATGCTTCATAGGCTTCCAAGTCAGTTCACCTTGGAGTGACTTTATATGCAGGATGTGTCTCCTGCCTTGGGTGGGGCTTGTGGGAAGGGAACAGAACACTGATTGGCATCTGTTCAGGCAGTCTAGTCTCTGTGCTTCATTAATCACTCACTTCCTTAAAGGCTTGGGAGGTAGCTCTGTGGTAGAACACTTGCCTAGCATGAGTGAGACCATAGGTTCAAACTCTAATTCTGCAAAATAGCAAAATCTGCTTCTTAGTGTCTGGTTGTTATATATAATTCGGCAGATGGGCTCTGAACTTCTACCTGAACAGAATGTAACTCACTGACTTTGGAACTGTGTGAAAGAGCAACTAAGCATTGGGGTGGGGTGGGAATTTAACTCTGTGGTAAAGTGCTTCTTGGCTGGTATCAAGTTCTGGGTTCAGTTGCCAGACCAAAGAAAACAGAAGAATAGCCATGACACTTTGTGAGCGTATTTCAAAACAAACACAACTCTCTATACTTCTAAATGAGCTGTGGTGGTTTCCTTTCTTTCTTCCTTTCTTCCTTCCTTCCTTTCTTTCTTTCTTTCTTTCTTTTTTCTTTCTTTCTTTCTTTCTTTTTTTTTTTTTTTTTTTTGCTGTAGGATAATCTTTATTTTGCCAGAGTTCTTTTACACGTTCTACTACATCCAGTCATCCCTTTTGGGAGGTTCAGGGATAGACTTGGAGAGCAGGAAAGAACTTCATTGAATTGTAGCATGGCTTTCTCACTGAAGTGTTGGTGTGTCTTAATCTAGAGAATGGCAATGTAAAAGAAAAAGATATACTGGTTTTGCCCCTTGACCTGGCTGACAGAAGTTCCCACGACATGGCTACGAAAGCCGTTCTCCAGGAGTTTGGTAGAGTAAGTAGCAGTTTTTGTTGATAGAGTATGTGTTATATCACTTTTCCCAGCTTGGTTAAACCTGCCAAAGAGATTCCTGTCTGTGGTGTCTCACTCAGAGACTCAGGCATATGGGATGTATAATGGGGCAGGCCTATCACTTGGACCTCTTGATCTCCGGGTCTTGAGCTTAGGTCATTAGCATTTTTCTTCCTCTTTAAACTCTCAATTCCTATTGTAGGCAAAAGAGCTAAAAATTCACCACAACTTTGATATTTATGAAATTTGCTGTGTTTTGTGAAATATTACTTAAATGGAAGAGGTGATTTGTGTTGATTTTATCTTCTTCTTCTTCTTCTTCTTCTTCTTCTTCTTCTTCTTCTTCTTCTTCTTCTTCTTTTTTGTTTGCTTGTGTTTTGTTTTGCTTCAAGACAGGCTCTCACTATATAGCTCTGACTGTCCTGGAACACACCATGTAGACCAGGCTGACCTCAAACTCACAGAGCTCTGCCGGCCTCTGCCTCCTGAGTGCTAGGATTTAAGGCTTGAGTTAATACACCTGTTTTGACTTTATCTTTTTATTGTTGATTTTAGAAACGTAACACTGCTCTACCTGATTCATCAAATTAACAACACTCATCATTAGGAATTCCATCAGTCCATTCAAAGACCATCTCTAAGAAGTCTTCTCTCTGATTTTTATTTAACTAGGTTGACATTCTGGTCAACAATGGTGGAATAGCACATTGTTCCTTTGCTGTAGATACCAACCTGGATGTCTTCAAAGTGCTACTAGAAGTGAACTACTTAGGGACAGTGTCCTTGACCAAGTGTGTTCTACCTCACATGATGAAGAGAAAGCAAGGAAAGATCGTGATTATTAATAGCCTTGGGGGAATTATACCCATACCACTTACCAGTGCATACAATGCCAGCAAACACGCTCTTCGGGTAAGGTTGCTTGAACCCAACTCTGTTAGCATCGACCACTATGTGCATGAGGAAATTGTCCATCAGTGGGTGAGGTCAGTGGCACTAAGGAGCCACATAAAGAGAAGACCTTCGAGAGGACCACACCAGTAAATGACCAGAAATATTTGAGCTGCAGGTTGGGAATAATGCGGCATGGTGGACCTTGATGGATTCCTTGGCAGGCCAGGGTGATCAAGGCGGGGGACAAACATGCCAGGCAGACAGAGATTAGTGAGAAGTTTTATTCAGAAGGGGGAAGGAAAAAGAACAGAGGTAAAAAAGACACACAGAGAGAGGATAGAAGAGAAGAGAGAGACAGGAAAAGTCCTGTCTGCCCCAGGGGAACAGCAGGGCGGGGGTGGGGGTGGAGGGAGCATAAGTGGGCAGGGGTCCTTTGCACCTGCACGCAGACTACAGAATCATGGAACCCTGGGCTGACCAGGGTACTGCCCGAGTGCATTCTGCCAGGTGACAGGGACAGGCCAGCATAATGCCTGAATCGTTACGCTGCACATACTTTTTACTTAATCAACCGATTTTTGTTGTGCGCCTGCATGCCGCTGCACTGAGACGAATCCTGGGGAGAAAGATTATTTCTGCTCTATCAAGCAATGTTGTCTATTGCCTGAGCTCTTTCTCTACTGTGTTTTCAAGTCTAACTGCGAGTCAACCCTCTCCTCTCTGGTCTTATTCTGTGTGCATGACTACTGGATGATTGATCCTGGCCTCCATATCCCTCCTCCGGAAATACGGACTCTATCCATTCTGGTCATGGAAAGAAGAAAAATTTGATCAAGGAAAAGACTAGGAGAAAAGCCTGACCTGTTTTTTTCTTAGGAGTAATAAATATCAGAACGGAATGATTCTTACGTTGGTTTAAGAGTAAAACTAAAGACATGATAAGGTCAGTGATTAAGGAAACATAAAATTTAATTCATCCCATTGAAAATGAGTGTCCCCCCCATTTTTTTTTATAGAGTCAGGAGGATCTCATTTAGCACTTTAGCCTCAAACTCTCTAAGTATCGGAGGCTGGCCTTGAACTCCTGGTCCTTCTGCCTTTGGCTCCCAAGTGCTGGGATTACAGGCATAGGCCAGCAACATACATGGCTGGAAAGTAAGTTTTAATGGAATATATTACCATTGGAATTGCATGATGCAGTGGTTCAGGTCAGTGTAGCTCCATAGAAATTGAAGGTGTGGTCCAATAGGACCTTTCTCTGGCTCACAGAGTAGACAAGAGCATAGTGATGGGGGAAGGGTGGGGAGCTGCTGCTCGGATGCTTTCCTCAGATTTAGAAAAGGGCTGCCAATCAACCTCCTCTAGAGCTAGGCACATGTTAGGCAGGCAGATGTGGGAGAGTGTACATCCCATCTGTTGGCACCCAGGCTTGTAAGACAGGTAGAATACCCTTTGTAAAAAAAGAACTCCTCACCTGTTTTCAAGGCTCTTTTTTGTTTGTTTGTTTGTTTGTTTGTTTTGTTTTTTTTGTTTGGGGTTTTTTGGGGGTTTTATTTTGGTTTTTCAAGACAGGGTTTCCCTGTGGCTTTGGAGACTGTCCTGGATCTAGCTCTTGTAGACCAGACTGGACTCACAGAGATCCGCCTGCCTCTGCCTCCCAAGTGCTGGGATTAAAGGAGTGCGCCACCACCGCCCGGCTTCACAGCTCTGTTTTAATTGGATTTAATAGGCTGGTAAAATGTGCCCAGTGATGGGCCTGTAAGATGGTGCAGCTGATAAAAGCACCTGCCCTGCAAGTTTGGGTCACCTGAGTTTAATTCCTCAGTACTCAAGGTGGAAGGAAAGAACCAACTATCCAAAGCTGCTCTCTGACCTCCATATGCGTGTGAAGCACACACACACACACACACACACACACACACACACACGTAATCATAAGTCCAATTTAAAATGTGGCTGCTTGAAGATTTTGTTAGCTATGGCTGTAGTTTGGTAGTTGAACACTGAGGTCAGTAGGCTTGTAAAAAATCACATTTCTTTCTCAGTCCCCAGTACGTTTGAGAGTGAATTTATCACTGGAGTTTATACACCATGCATCCTTCGTGTGGTTTTACACAAAGAGAGGGTTCAGTGCTCTTGGGCTGACAGACTGGTGTCCCTTTCTTTTGCTACAGACCAATAGAGGTTAAAAGTATAGGAGTTTTCCCTACCTTCACTGGCATTTTGTTTTGGTCCACCCCTGCACCAGTGTCTGACTGCAGAAGCCTTCACCATCTCTGAGCTGTGTGATGGGGCGGGGGGGATGTCACATTTATTGTCATCAAACCTTTTAATATTGCTAAATCAGATATGGATGCACCTTTGGTAGAGAGCGATAGAGTGGGCTAGATGATCATGACTTATACCTTTGTACTCCTACTTGCCTCAGCCAAAGACTCCTCCCCTGTTACCTTGAAAAGCAGACACTCACAAACTATCTTAAGAAAACAAACACACTACAGCAACCACTTGAAACCTTTTCTGCCTCGCTTCTGTAAACATGGCTAACCACAAGGAAGCTGGCCCTGAGATGCCAAGGCCACCTGCAGAAGGTCACAGCGAACACACTTGGAATCCAACGACATCACAGCAGTTAAAGTCACTGAGGCTGAAAACATATCAATTCAGTGCGACTCTGTAAGCCAGGCCCCAGCTGAGCCCTCCAACCCCCCAGCTGCTGCCTGTGTTCTTCAGAACCTGCTTTCCCAAACACCTTGAGAAACAATTTAAGCATTTCATTAGCTGGCCTGGTTGGTGTTAAAACGATGCAGTCTGAGAATATTTCCTACTTTAGAAACAGAAGAGGAAAAATAGATTTCTGTTTATTCACAGTTGGTTTACAATCTCCGGTATCTTTAAGTCTAGAAGGTCTAGCTAGTAATTCTTTTTTTTACAATGTAATATTTTTATCAAGATTTTTAAAAAAATAATTTCGTACAAGGACACAAGAGTATTCTCATGGTATGCAATCACCATTTCTCCCTGTGACTCCTCCAAGATCGTTCCCACCCTCCCCAACTTCCCGTGTTCATTCTTTCTTTCTTCCTTCCTTCCTTTAAATAAGTCACCAACTCCCATGTGTTATTTACAAAGAAATTTCTCTGCTGAGGTATGAGAGCCGTACCAATCTATGGATATATGTGAAAAATATACATTGGGCTGGGAGGTGGTGGTGCACACCTTTAAGCCCAGTACTCAGAAGGCAGAGGCAGGCGATCTCTGTGAGTTTGAGGCCAGCCTAGTCTACAGAGCGAGTTCTAGGACAGCCAAGGCTACACAATGAAACCCTGTCTTGAACACTCACCCCCACACCCCCAAAAAACCCAAAGTGCATATTGGTGTGTTTTGCCTGAATGTAGTATGTGGACCAGGTGTGTGCCTGGTGCTTGCAGAAGCCAAAAGAGGATGTCAGATCCTTCTGACTGGAGTTACAGATGGTTGTGAGGTACCATGTAGGTGCTGGGAATCCAGCCAGGATCCTCTGGAAGAGCATCCAGTGCTCTTAACCACTAACTGATTCTCCAGCCCCTAGAGATAGAAATTTAGAGGACAATTTGATACTATGTCCATATTGCAGCATAATAGCAGTGGGTTCTTTCCTGGCCTAGTTTCTTCTAGAGTCAGTCAGAAGGCAATCACATTGTAACAATGACTAGTTATGCATTAGCCATCAGCCAAGATACTTCATGTAAATTAGTTCACCAGTTAAAATGGTGATGCAAACTGAAAAAATGGATTTATCTATGGCAGTTATCCATCCCTGTTTTTTATTTTTTTGTTTTTTGCCCCTTGACCCAGTTTTTTTTTTTTTTTTTTTTTTTTTTTTTTTTTTTTTAATCTCATCTTTTTAAATCTATCCAGGGAAATGAAGAGCTGCCCCTCTATTCCTACCAGTGATCCTCTGTAGACATATACATGTTTGGAGTGGGGAAATGAAGATCGTTATGAGGAGGGTATACAGGGGTCTTTAGAGAAAAGTCTGGCTGCAGCTTAATGCTTATCTGCTGTAGAAGCACTAATGTCAAAAGCTACTGCTAGCGTCATTCAAAACCCGGGGATCTGGCAAGATCGGAGAGTACCTGCTGTGGTTGTTTGTGGTCCATGGCCTGTGTGTACACTGTCTGTCCTGTATTCAGGCACTTTAGAATATAGTTCCTCAAATCATGAGACTATGAATTGAGACCCATATCTGTGTTTAATTTCCTTTTTCTTTTATTTTCTTTTATTGCCTATTAGGGTTTTTTAGATACCCTCCAGACTGAACTTTTTAACTATCCAGGTATAACAGTGTCTACCATTTGCCCAGGACTTGTGCACTCGAATATTTTCCAGAATTCTTTTACTTCAGAAATCACTGAGGTAAATGTTTTTGGTTGAAAACTAGTTGGAATGTTTTATTGTTTATCCCACAGTGTTGACTCATATAGGTCAGGGCCTTTGTCAGAAGCACTGATGAATTAGCCACGTAACCTAACCCCAATTGTTATGCGTCATGATAAATTTAGCTGGCAATGTTTGACATCCGGTTTTTATAAGGCTAATGAAATTGCTACATTATCAGGTCTAAGTTGGTCACCCAGTCCACTGTTGTGCAATATCTCTGTAGTTGGTAATAAAATTCCTTTTATCTTTCCCTGACTCACCACAGAAGGTGGGATTTTCATATGCCTTTTGAGGTAATAACCATCATTAGGCACTGTAGTGAAGAAAACGGGGAGCTTTGACCTTTCAATTAGTTGACAATCTCAGCCGGTCCATATGTGATTCCTATGAGGGATGGTGGAATATCATGGAAGTTTAGGACTTCTCCTAACACCTGTAGACATTTGTAATGGGTGCAAGGCTCCACACTGCATGGGCACCTCTGGCACCCGACCTTTGGCTCCTTCTTAATATAACGTTCTGTAAAATAGCTTCATAAATATTTAGCATCCATTTTATTTTAAACTTTTAGACTTTAGGGAGTAATGCTGAGGCTCTTTCCAAGATGGAAACAAGCCGCTGTGCCCAGCTGATACTGATTGCCTTGGCTAATGATTTGAAAGAAGTCTGGATCGCTCAGCAGCCTCACTTGTTTAAGACATATGTGTGGCAATATGTGCCAATCAGGGACTGGATATTTTCAAGGAAGACGTGGAAGAAAGTTATTGAAGGCTATAATATTGACAAGGTAAGTGACTTGCTTTTTTTTTCTAGCAGTATGTATTCATCTTGCATGAAAATACAAAGTCTTCGAAGGCTTTAGAATAGTTTTGCTAACTTGCAGACCAGCTCATAATATAAATGCCAAACCCACAAAAGATGTATTCTATCACCACACGTAGCTGATGGTTTTCCATCAATTGCCACTGGTCTAGGTGCTCCAGAAGGTTCCACATGGCAAGCAAAGGCTGCCGTCTTTTCTTCTATACTTACTGCCTGAGAGAGTAAGTTTTGGAAAACTCCGTTCCCTCCCATCACCCCCTACCCAACCTCCCCATCTCAGCTCAGGAGTCACTTCCTTGAAGGGATATCTTCCCTCCCTACCACTTCTCTGGGGGCAGGTGCCCTCAGCCCTGAGTTTTCTACCTTCAAAACAACTCACTATGCTAAGACAACTTGCGCCACACACTGTGCAGTCCTTATTTCTCCTGTCTCACCGGAAGCACACTGCACATCCCAGATATGCAGGGAACAGGGCTGATTGCCCCTTCTTTCTGCATCACTCCTACAACACTGAGAGGGAAATAATAACTGTTTCTTTAAAAAGAAAAAGTGTCATGGATACACATCACAGCAAATGTAATGTGTTAAACTTAAATCCTTTAATTACAGTTATACATAAGGAAGGCTATTGTTGTGGGTTGTTGTCCTTGTTTCTTTGAGATGCTTTTTTACAGGCATTTAAAAAAAAGATTTATTTTTAGTTATATGTTTGTGTATTTGTAGGTGTGTGTGTTTGTTACCTGCCTGTGGATGCTTATAAAGGCCAGAAGAGAGTGTCAGAACCCCTAGGAATGGTTATGAGCCTCCTGATCAGGAACTAGGATCCAAACTCTGGAAGAGCCTCAAGTACTCTTAAATGTCAAGCTATCTCTCCAATACTTGTCACAAACCATTTATAAAACTTAGTTACTACATAGCTGGCTATAGTAGCACACTCCTTTAATTCCAACACTTGAGAGGCAGAGGCAGAGGCAGAGGCAGAGGCAGAGGCAGAGGCAGAGGCAGAGGCAGAGGCAGAGGCAGAGGCAGAGGCAGAGGCAGAGGCAGGAGAGAGGCAGAGAGAGGCAGAGAGAGGCAGAGAGAGGCAGAGAGAGGCAGAGAGAGGCAGAGAGGCAGAGAGGCAGAGAGGCAGAGAGGCAGAGGCAAGAGGCGGATGTATCTCTGTGAATTTGAAGCCAGTCTGGTCTATGTAGACTAGCCTGTTCTACATAGTGAGTTTTGAGTTCCAGGATAGGCAGGGCTACATAATAAAGAAACCCTGTCTAAAACACAAAACAAAACAAACAACAACCAAATAGGCAAACAACAACAAAACAGATGAATAGCTCTATAAAAGAAGGCCATAATTTGCAGAGTATGTGATCTATCAATAATTAAGTAGTCTTCTCTATTTTTTAAACAGGTAATTACAGGACTAGAGAGACTGCTCAGTGGTTAATAGCACTGCCTGCTCTTCCAAAGGTCCTGAGTTCAATTCCCAGCAACCAGTGTGGCTCACAACCATCTGTAATGGGATCTGCTGCCCTCTTCTGGCCTGCAGGCACACATGCAGACAGAACACTGTATACATAATAAATAAATAAATCTTAAAAAAAGAAACAGCTAATTACTTCTATCTTTCTATGTTGTAGTAAAAATGAACCAGGTGAGAGAGAGCCAAGAGAAAACTGTAACAAAATGCTTAAAGACATTAAGATAAAACATTTACATGGTGTCCTAAAATGTAGAGTGTGAAATGTCATGAGTCGTTCTGGGTCTTGGTGATGTGAGATGGTTCTAAAGACAGACTTCAGGGAAAGCTGCCTGTGTTTTAAATCAGGAGGATGGTTAGGAGGCACCCTGGAGGTCAGTGACAGAGAAACCGTGGGAGGGAACGATTCTGTACAGGAGGGAGCTTGGTGCCCCGGGTCAGAGTTGGTCCCGGTATTGGGCTTTCTGGGTTCAAATTCCAGATCTAAGGCCTACTTGTCCATGACCTAAAGCAGGTCACCCCTCTGACTTAAGTGGCTTGTCTACACAATGGGTAGTAGACATGACAAGTCATAGGGTTGTTATGAGCCTTAAGAACAGAGGGGCAGAGGCCCTTCCTAAGCATAGCCTGGAGTGTTCTAGGGACCACTGTCCCTTTATTCTTCCTTTCAAGCTGAGTTTGGGAGAAGCAGGGGCAGATGCTTAGCTTGTTTCTCTGTTGTGACTTTTATGAATGGTGACAAGCAGATGGGAGTGCCATATTGCTTCATTAGCCTGGCTTCAATTCCTTCCAGTGAGTACCCTGATATGATTCCAGAGGTGGTTTACCTCCAAAGCTTTGTCCCCATGCTGAACCTCGTGTAGGAGGCAGGGCCTGGTACAAGGCCATGGAGGCATCACCATGGAAGGGATGAATGTTTCTTCCCCAGAGCTCTGGTAGTTCTTGGAAAGTGAGTTGTCATATAGCATGGCTACCCAACATGCCTGGTTTCTTTTCCATTTCTCTGCAGGATGACAAGTATCACAAAAGGCTGAACGAGTGAGGCTGCCTAACTTTGCACCTTTTGCCATCAGATTGGTGAGATGAAAAACTAATTTTCCTGCAACCGCAGGAATGGACTAATATACAATCTGTAGTTGCCAAGTGTCATGCCACATCATTCCCAGATTAAACAGTTGGGAGGAATTAACATACCGCTCATATAATCTTGATGCCTGTTAACAGTTTTTGGTACTTCATGATAAGGCAAAGAAAGCAGAGGTGGGGGGGGTGGGTGTGGGGGCGGGGGGGGGGGGGGGGGGGGGGGCAGAAAAAGCATGGTACTTTAAGGGGCGCAGGCTCTCAGGATGGGCACTTCAAGGCTGATTCATAGTATTTACAGAGTCTACCTAGAAAACACAAATGTTACCCAGAACACCTTTCTTTGGATTTCAAAGCAAGTGACATTAGTGATTTCAAAGGCTATGGTCTATTCTTCCCCAGATCAAGTCTTTTTTTTTTTTGATAAATTGAAAACATTTATTTTATGTATAGCATCACCATGCACATATTAAATAGTACTATAATAGAATGATTTGATATAACTCCTTCCTTCCGTCTTTCTTTCTTTCTTTCTTTTTTTTTTTACAGAGCAGATTTTCACTATGCAACCCTGACTGGCCTGGAACTTACTGTATAGACCAGGCCTCCAACTCATAGTGATCCTCCTGCTTCTGCCTCTGCCTCTCAAGTGTTAAGATTAAAGGCATTCGCCCAGGCAGTTTTAAACAGAAGAAAAAGAGGAAATTTTCAGATTATAAAGCCCCTCCCCAAAGAACAATTTTTTTTTTGAAAAAATCACTTTTTTCCAAGTGGTCAATGAGATAAATGTATTCTGTGCCAATATCATCTTCAATAAATATGTTGAATAAATCAATATTTCTTATCTATCCATTATCACTGCTTTTTATGAGATTTTCTCACTTCACAGTATCATTTCTTGGATACGTACATTGCCTCACTTTAACTCAGCACCAAAGAACAATAGTCACAAGGATTTTTACTTTGATAAAATTTATTTAATTCTAGCCTTTCTTGGGGGAGGCAAATGGCCTTATTGCCCCAAAATAAAGTCACATCATGGGCATATATAGTCAAGATATTTTGTTTTGCTCTTTACATAATATATGAAAAGCGTATACATGTTTTTTATTATTTTTTATTTACATTTGAAAAATTGAAGTATAATTACTTTCTTTCCTTCAACTGCTCCCCTGCAATCCCCTTTGTTCTTTCTAAACTCCTTGCCTCCTCTTCTTTAATTATTATTGTTAAATACATTTACTCATAAAATTGTTGTTATTACATGTACATATACACATAAATATATAAGCATATTCTGCTGAGTCTGTTCAGTGTTGCATGTACACGATTTCATGGCTGAGCATTTGGTACTGGTTAACAAATTAGGGGACTCCTACATGGAGGAAGGCTGAATTTCCCTTAGTGGCTGTAATTCTTTGTTTAAGGGTGGGACCCTGTGATTTCCCTCTTTTCCATCACCATGTGCACTGGTGTTATCATTGTTCAGGTAGACTTATTTTCCAAATATTCCAGTTCTAAAGACTTGACATCACTGTATGTATTTAGAAGGATAGTCAGCATGGATGTGATGTACAAACCAGAATGAAACAAATAAGAGAGTGCATGAAATGCTGTGCATAGACCAATGGTATTTATGCCACATACAGATTATAGTGATGTTAACTAAGCTCAGGGGTGATATTTGTGTGGCAATCTAGAGTTTTGAATGTAATTTTAAAAATCCAGTGTAAGCATTTGAGCAGGGTCTTAAATATTCTTGTTTTTTTAAGTTAATTAATTTATTTTCTTATGAGCATTGGGGTTTTAGTTACATGTGTGTCTGTGAGGAATGTACATTCCCTGGAACTGGAGTTACAGACACCTGTGAACTGTGGTGTAGGTGCTGGGAATTGAACCCTGGTCCTTTGGAAAAGCTGCCAGAGTGGCAAGTACTCTTAATTGCTGAGCCATCTCTCCAGCCCCAGTTTTAAATATTCTTAACAGGGAATATTAATGATATAGAGAAACAGAACAGGATTACATTTCAAACAGCAGTATGAATAGAAGGGATTTAGTCATCTTACTGTTAATGTTTTACAGGTTATATACTCCTCTTGACGTCTGGAAGGCAGGATGGTGGAAGGGAGCCTTAGCCATTTCCAAGCCACCAGAAAGGAAGCTGAGAAGCATAAATATAATGTTCTTGTCATGCACAGAAGACTGACTGAAGAATATGTTTGTTATCCTTCAAAAGAAGGTTGGCCCGGTAGCCCAGGCTGGCCTTTAGGTCAAGATGCTCCTGCTTCAGCCTCCTGAATGTTGGAATTGTTGGCATCCTCTTTCATGCTTCCTTTTTAATTTTTATCTAACTTTTTCAACATGTACTAAGTAAAAAGTAAAATATCACTATGAATATTGAAAAAATCATTATGTATACTTCAATAAAACAATGTTTAATTAGTACGTGTGTGTATGTGTCTGTTCACACTTGTAGGCTTGAGGCCAATCTCAGTTGTCGCTCCTCAAGTGCCATTCACCTTTTTGTTTGTGTTCCTTTTTAATTTTTTAAAAAATGACTTTATTTTATGTGTAAGGGTGTTTTGCCTACATGTATGTCTGTACATCACGTGCATGCCTGGTGCCCAAGCAGGCTAAAAAATGGTGTTAGATCCTCTGGAACTGAAGTTACAGACTGTTGTGAGCTGCCACATGGGTGCTGGAATCGAACCCAGGTCCTCTGGAAGAACAGCCAGTGCCCTAAACTACTGAGCCATCTCTCCAGGTTCCACCTTGTTGTCTGTGGTTTTATTTTTTTATATTTTTTGTAGTTTTTTTGTTTGTTTTTGAGAAAGGGTTTCTCTGTGTAGCTTTGGAGCCTGTCCTGGCACTTGCTCTGTAGTCCAGGCTGACCTTGAACTCACAGAGATCTGCCTGCCTCTGCCTCATTGACCTGAGTTATCGATTAGACTAGGCTGGCTGGCCACAGCCTAAAGGGTCCATCTGTCTCTACCTCCCTACTGCTGGGGTGACAAGCATGCACCATCATGTTTGCCTGTTTTTGTTTGTTTTTTTTTTTTACATTAGTTCCTGTGGTGATTCCTCCGCAGGCTTTACAGTAGGCAGGGAAAAACAATTAGGTGAGGTAAGAATGAAACTCAGCTTGGCCCAATTTTATTGTAACCACTGTTGGTCCAGGACTTCTAGAGTCTGGCCCAGATCATTTTACTTTAGCCATATTTAAGCACAGCACAATTTTGGAAAAAAAGTATTTAGGTAACTGATGGGGTATATCCTTCTGTATGCTGTGACTATATGTTTCTCTTATTTGTTGATGAATAAAATTGTTTCAGCCAATGGGCAGGCAGGATGTAGCCAGGCAGGAATTATAGATGGGACTACCAGAGTAGGAGAATTCTGGGCAGAGGAAAGGCAGAGACGCAGGAGTTAGAGAGACACCATGTATTCACCAGGAAGGTAGGATGTCCAGGCATTCTCTGGTAAGCCAAGTCCATGTGGAGATAATATTGATTAATAGAAATAAGTTAATAATTAAGAGAGCTGGCCAATAAGTCTGAGCCATCAGCCAAACAGTTTATAATTAATATAAGCCTCCATGTGTTTATTTAGGATTAAATAGCTGCGGGACCATGTGGGACAGAAACTTCCACCAACAGGTAACAATTAGCTCAGTTCCACGTGCACAACAATTTAAAGCATGTTTACACAGAGATTCCTTACAAAGTTCATATGGCTTCTTTCACAAGAATGGGTACTGTTGATTCAGAGACAGTAGCCCAAGATTTAGGGTCCAGGGAGCTTGACTGAGGTAAATATAATGCCTGTGGATGTCAGGACTGGCCTGGCCCTAAGACAACATAGTAGTCACTTAGGCTGTTGTAAAGCCC